AGAGCAACCTTGTTTCAGCCAGTGGGCTTGGCCACGGGTCTAGGGGAGCCGGAAGGGCTGCAGAGCAGCTGGCCCTGCCTTGGCTGGTGCTCTCCCCAGTGTTTGTGGGGTGTCCCCTGGGATTCAGCTCTTAACCCCAAAGTCTCTCTGAAGACCATATTCAAGGGCCTTTTCCTTCTTTCCTCTGTTGGTCACTGGTAGTAACTGGTGTGAGCTAGGCTGAGTCTAAACTGTACGTAGACCAACTGAGGTCTGATTCTCAAGACTGCTTCTTTCTTACTGAGTTTGCATAAAAAGTTGTCTCCTCACCAACCTTTTCTCCATGTAGAGGTAATCTTTCAAGTTGTTTTTGTCAGTCATGGGGCTTGAACTCAGGTCTTGGGCGCTGTCCCTGATCCTTTCTGCTCAAGTGCTCTACCACTTTGAGCCACAGCTCCACTTCCAGTTTTCTGGTGGTTAATTGGAGATGAGTCTTACAGACCTTCCTGCCTGGGCTGGCTTCAAACAGTGATCCTGATCTCACACTCCTGAGTACATAGGATTAAGGTGTTTGACTCAAGTTTCTTCAGGCAGAAAGAAAAGGATATTGACAGATTTATTCACTGCTGCAATCCCATCACTTAGATTAGGATCTGGCCCAAAGTAGGCAGAGAAAGGTAACTAAGAAATAAATTCATTGTTTAAGAAATCTTGACATTTGAGAGAGAGAGAGAGAGAGAGAGGAGAGAGAGAGAGATGACAAGTAGAAGAAACAAACCTGTCCCCTGGATCAAGCCATGCCTGAAACTCCAGATGCTTCTTAGTGTTCATCTCCATGAACGTACCTTCTCTTGATTGAGTCAGTTTCATTTGACCTTCTGGTCATATGTAAATATAATCCAAATTGAAACAGGAAAGCTGGTGAGCAATTAGCTCAGGAGGATATACTGAGCTATTAGATTGGATCTGATGTATGTAACTGCACAGAGAGGCTTAGTAGGGAGGATTTTTTTTCTTCAAGTCTGGTCCTGGATTTATCAACTATTTTTTGAATGAAACAGGTACCAAGTGGCAGGTACCAGTGGACGTCAGCCATGATTGGAGTCAGGTTTTCAAAACAGATGTGAATTCGTATCAATGGTAAACGTTGCTGGGATGCACTGATAATTCCATCCATGGACACACCTGCACTGACTGCTCACCCCCCTTCTGCCTCATGCTGTCCCTTCCTGACGGAATTCTCTTCTTTCTGGTTCCCATGGATTCCTCTTCTACTTTGAGCCCTCCCTCCCCTTCTCTCCTTCCACAAGATGTCCCATTTGTCTTTCTGTCTGGCTTGATAGTTCTAGTTTGGGTTTTATGAGCAATTTCTTTAATAATTTTTAATTCCCACCAACAGTGTAGAAGAGTCCTTACCCCCTCCCCCATCCTTGCTATCATCCTTCTTATCCCTCCCTCCTTCCTTCCCTTCCTTCCTTCCTTCCTTCTTCATTTCCTTCCTTCCTTCCTCTCTCATAGCCCTTCTAAGTAGGGTTAGATGTTACCTCATTGTGGTTTTGAATTACATTTTCCTGATGGCAAATGATAGGAGCATTTTTTTTTTTTTGCATCTTTTTTGGTCACTTGGATTGCGTTGGAGCACTGTCTAGTCAAAGCCTGTGTTGGGTCTTGCTTGGAAAATGAATCTATGTCTTCTGATTGAACAGGCTGGGGATTCTCAGGTGGAATGGGAGGTTTGGGAGGAGGGAAGAGGAGCCTTGCCCCAGGAGCCTTCTGGAGAGGCACTGGACGGAGATGAGCCCAGGGGACACACTGTCACCCACAAACAGGCAGTGCTCCTTTTCCTCTGCAGGCTGGTCCTGAGTGACACATTGGTGCCACTGCAGGGACCCAATTGGTACTGCCAAGGAAGCCTTTCCATCAGTGCCAGGCAGATCAACCGATCGCCAGGGTCTGCAGGTGTTGGGGGAGGCAGGAGAACCTGTGTCTGAGGGATTAGGGACAGGCTGTGGTCCCCTGGATCTTCACAAGAGGTGAGACCAGTAATGGGGAGAATCCCTGACCACGGGCCCAAGAAGAGAAGGGACAAGAGAAATGAGCGGGGGACTCCGGCCCCTGAGTGGCCCTCCCACGCTGGGACCTGGGTAACACACTGGCTGCTTCTTCCCAGCGATCACTGCAACAATCAGGGCACCCTGGGCATCCTCTGCTCTCCCTCCCCCCTTCCTTGTGCCACCCCAAATTCAGGCCTGTTGTCCACCACTCAGTTTCGCTGTCTTCTGGTCCACCGTTCATACTGTGCATATGGGGTTTCTTCCTACAGCACGATCTCGATTGTGATATTCTCCAGCTGTTCTCTTCAATGGCTCCCTATTGCCCTATAGTCCAGTCTATTTAGGCAGACAGGGCAGAGCCGTCCCATCCCATGCTGCTGCTACGCTGGGCTTTCACCCACCCTCGTGTTTCAGTCCCTTCCACACCCCTGCCCCAGGGTTGGGTCCGATGACTGAAGCTTACACTGAATTCTTTCCTTTAAACACAGCACTATAGAAGAGTGGAAGGACACAAGATGACCACTCAAAGAAAAAAGAGCTATGGGCAGGCTGGGCTGAATTCTCCTGTGGCTCCCACTTCCTTCGTAGAGTGAGGAGTGGACCACCAGTCAGACCATTCCCATGACAGGAATGGACCTGTGCAGCAAGCACAGAAGAGACCTAAGAACAGGATCATGGACAAGCAGATGCCACGGGGACTCAGAAGAGTCTGAGCCATGGGCTGCCCCCCCAGTGAGACAGCAGGGCCTGGAAACAGAGGGGAAACAGCTCAGGGGCTCAGGTAAGGACCCAGAGGGCCCTCCTTCTACCTCTACTCTCTAAAGCCATGCTGTCTTCCCAGAAGTTTCCAGACCTGTCCTGCAGGCAGGTCTGCAGGAGTCTGAAGGATCAGGCTACATCAGTCTCCTGCTCATCCAAGGCCCAGCCCACAGCACCTCGGATTCCTTCTTGCTCAATAAGAGTCAATGGTGGGTTGTTAAATCCCTGGAACCCCATGTTTGGTTGTTGGAGCGTGGCTCTTTGTTTTTCTGTTTGTCTGTTGGTTAATGGTGGGAAGGGGAGGGCCTGTTTGTTTTGCCTTGCTGGCCGGCTCAGGATTGTCTGTCATTCAACCAGACCTTGCCTTGCCCCCCTGCTGTTTCTAGTGTCCTGCAGTGCTCTCCGGCAGCTACCTGGTGAGAAGACAAGTGACATTTACCAAGACCCTGGAACCTCCTAGTAAATGCGTGGGCTTGAACTCAGAGCCTAAGTTCTCTCTTCTGCTCAAGGCTAGCAGTCTACCACTTTGAGCCACAGTGCCACTTCTGCTTTTCTGGTGGTTAACTGGAGTAAAAGGCTCATGTGCTTTCCTGCCTGGGCTGGCTTTGAACCATGGTCCTCAGGTCTCACCCTCCTGAGTAGTTGGGGTTACAGGCACGAGCCACCAGCACCCTGCTACTTGCTAGTGGCAAATTTACCTGCCTTCTTGACCTTCTTACACCTTTGCTTCTATCACGGTGGTAGCTCCCCATGCATTGAAGCTTACCTGGGTGCACGAGCTGGCTCTTGGTCACAGAGGTGATGGGAGTTCAAATGTGGTGAAAGGGCCAGGTGTGGTGGTGTACACCTGTAAGGCCTGTACTTTGGGAGGCCTAGGCAGAGAGGACCATGAGTTTAGGCCCACATGGGCTACAGAGTAGGATAATGGCTGTCCCCTCCCCCCACATTCTAGTGAGAACTGAGTTAAAAAAAAAAAATGACCTCAGAGGAAGAAGTTAGGAATAAAGACAGGCAAAAGATTCTGTTAAAGAAGAACTCACGAGGGCTAGGGCCCTAAATCCTTCAGGGGTCTGGGAATGAGGGCGTGGCAGTAAGGTGGCTGCACTGCCCTGCAGGACATACTGGAGAAAGTTGAGACCTGGGTGTTGAGGAGTTTGGGTTCATTAGGCCCGCATGTGAAAATTGGCCACTGGGTGTTTTGAGCAGGAGAGTGACTGGTCAGAGAGGCTCCAGGGGGGAGTCCTTGGAGATGGTCTAAAGATGGGAAAAGGGTGAGTCCCCATGATTTTTTGTGCAGAATAACAGCCCGAGGGTATGGTTACTCAGCATCCCCTAACAGACAATTGAGACAATCACGTTACCTAGAACAAAGGTTCCTTTTGGAGGGTTTTGGAAGCCTATCTATGGGAGGTGGACGCTCCTGCTTCAGGCCTGTCACAGAAGTGGCACATTATCATGGGAAGACGTGGCAGAGCAACTTGGTTCCACCATTGGTCAGAAAAGTAAAAATGAGATAGGAGGAAGCGGCTGGGGTTTGTTCCTCTATGGCCTTTTGTGCATAGGAGCACTGACTGCACAGCCAAATGCTAACAGTATCCACCCATCCACAGAACAGCAGATACGGAACATGTGTCATGGACGTGTGGAATACTAGTCAGCCAGCAAAAATACATGCAGGCTTGCGAAGTGCAACAGGGCAGGCCACTATGTGGCCTCACTTTTATGTGTGATGTAAAAGCAGCAAACAAGTAGCTGAGAGGAGAAAGGTCACTCCCAGGGGCTGAGGCCTAAGGGCGGGAGAGAGGATGGCAGAGCATCCAATGCCCCAATTAGACAGAGGGGGAGAATGACAGTTCCTTAGGATGTGTTACACTCTGCGGTAAATACAGTAAATTTCCTATGCTCTCACCGCAGGCAACGATGACTACTTGAGATGATGGATGTTAATTAGCTCCTTCTAGTTATTCCACACTGTTTCTAAGCCATAGCATCACGTTGGATTCCAAAAATAGATACAACTGTGACTTACCAATTTACAATCAAAAGAAAAAAAAAAAAGGCATAAAGGAAATACCCATGTGCTTCTGCTACTCCACCGAGGAGTGCAGTGTTGCCAAATCAGCCCGAAACGGTGCCAAGTCAGTATGCGCCGACACCACCTGGCACATGCTCTCCTTACCATTTTTACTGCAGAAAGAGGAGAGTCGACACATCTTCACAAATTTAATGGTGGCAAAAAAAAAAACAAAAAACCCACAAAAATCTTGTGGATGCTCTTCACAGACATTCCTATGCCATATCCCCCACTGTGCATAACCGGATACAATCGAGAGGGAACATTTCACACATAACCGATGTGGATAGCATCACTTTGGACATTTACTTTTTACAATTTGTTTTGGTGTCTGAGATCAAACCCGGGGCCTGAGTATGGCTATGCAAGTACCCCAGCCCTAGACATTTTTGAAAACAGTCCTGGTGCAGCAACTGTTTAAGCGCTGTTGAACCCAACACCCTTATACAGGGAAGCTGTACCCTGGGGAGGTGGCTGTAATTAAAACATTCTGCCAGGCTCCAAGACCTGCAGGTAACTGGGCCTCCAGCTCTGGGGGTGAGGAAAAAGGGACTCAAAGACTTCCAGGTGAAGGTGCCTGGCACCCAACGCCGCACCTGGCTACAGGGCAACCTCTCAACCCCCCCCCCCCCCCAGACCCTGAGTCATCCTTGCTGTGAACCCCCTTGGGCTTCTCACCCTCAAAGCCAGTGGCCAAGTAGTGGTCTATTTCTGCACTGGAGGTACCAGGATGGAAATGTGGGTTTCCCCCCAGAAGGAACAAGAATGTGAGCTATGTGGGCTGCTGGCCCAGCTTGCGCTCTCTTCCAGCTCCCTTTCTCATACAGCCCTGGGAAAGCCTTGCCACGGGGAGTCCTCCGCAGGGACTAAAGAGCTTCAGTGGTGGGATCCCAGCCAGAGGGGACTGCTGGAGCGCGGCCCTTCCAGAAAGAAACGCTTCAGACGGCGCCGAGATTTTAAAGGGAGCTATAAAGATGCCTTTGATTCTTTGCCCCTTCTGAAATCCTGGTGTGTCGGGTGTGAGGGGAGCAGGGGCTGCAGTCCAGCCCACGAGCCCAGGACAACCGTTTTCTATGAGGAGGTCCATCCTGTGTCTTGTTACTGTTGGGGGGGGGGAGAGGGAGGCGGGGAAGTGGAATAAGCAGTTGGGGGTATTTGTGGGGTGGAGAAAGCTGGATGGGGAAAGTGGGTGCTGTGAGCACTTCTGAGGGTCGGGATGTCAGAGGTCACCTGACTGACCCCCCCAAAGCCATCCTGGCTCTTGAGGTGGTGAGTGTGTGTGTGTGTGAGAGAGGGAGAGAGAGAGAAAGTGGAGCTGGGAGAAAGATAAAGACTCTCAAAAGAGAAAAATGTTCTTTGTACTCATCAATTGAAGCAACCCATTTCTTACTCGGGAAGCGTTTTGGGTCGATATGTATGTTGTTGTTGTTTTTACCTGTTAGGTGATCACAGCACCAGTTGTTTTACAATCAGGTACACTAGAACTGGAGACTTCTCTTCCTGCACCCCTGAATGTCTACCATGAGCGGCGGAGAGGGGGATGACGTGTGCGTTTTGCTCCGGGCCCTCAGCTGGCGGGCCCGGCCTCGGCCTCGGCCTCGGGGCTGCCCGCCCGCCGCCGCTTGCAGGTGAGCAGCAGCAGCAGCAGCAGCGGCAGGTGCCACAGGCTGCAGAAGAACAGTTTCCGAGAGCTCTTCCGGTCGGCGTCCTTGTAGAACCGGAAGGCGAGGTAGGAGATGTACAGGTTGATGGGCAGCGAGATGGCCGGGAAGGCCCAGCTGGTGACGTCCAGGGCCGGGGCGGCGGCGGAGAGCGCGATGAGGGCCAGGCAGTGGCGCAGCGCCACGCGCCGGCACAGGCCCGGGTGGGTGACGGACATCATGCAGTAGCCGCCGCGGGAGTAGTCCTCGCGGAGACCCCAGCTCAGGGCGTTGAAGTGGGGGAACTGCCACGAGTAGAGGATCCCGCCCAGAAGGAGCGCTCCTGTGTGCGGGGACGGGGAGAGAGGAGACAGCACACCACAGTCAGGGCAGACTGGAAGGAGGACCGGTCCTGGCTGGCCCTCAGGGGGGCAGGCCTGACCCGGGGTGCATGGCCAGCACCTCCCAGCTCTGCCAGTTGGGGCTCTGTCATTTGGACCAGGCCAGGTCAGCCGGCATCACAGGTGAGGCATGCTTCCCACTGCGGTGGCCAGAGCCCCACACACTTAGGAGCACTGAGTTCGGATCCTGTTCTGTGTGGGAGCCTGCAGTACAGCCCTGGGTCACTCTAGCTCCTACGTGGGACCGGGACAGGGGGCAGTGCTGAGACTCCAGCCCCCTGGTCCCCTGGGTGGGCCTGGGCTCACTAGGAGGCAGCCAGGGCTCTCTGCTCAGCACCGAGTGCACCCACAGGTCTCTCAAGGCAGGGCGCTTGGCACACGCTTCTCACACCCCTGAGTAGGAGGCGGAGTGTGTGCGCAGGAACAAATGAGCCTGCCTGAGCGCAAAGGAACATGGCCTTCCTTAGCTTTCAACCACCAGGGCAGGGTCCCCCCCACGCTCAAGCACGGGCGGCACACAGGCCACATTTCCTGAGCACTTTGTGACTCAAACTTTTGCTAGACAGTGCCTACTTAATCCCGACTGTAGGATCTTGAGACAGGTTTCCTGATCTTCAGGAAACCAAAAAAAAAAAAAAAGGATCAGATGCTGTTCACTCTTCCAAGAGATGAAGGAGGAATTCAAAGCACGCGTATCTCTTCCACACCAAGCTCCGTCCGCTGCACAGGGCTGCCTCCCTGAAGTCAGGCTGCACAGTCTGGCTTGGGAGCGGGGCTACCTACTCCTGGCACAGATGGCTCAACACTCATTCCCTGAGCACTGACTGTGTAGCACTGTGTGGCACACACTGGCATCCACACTGGGATACATGTGAGAAGAACCCAGCAGGGGCCCACCAGCACCCAGTTCCCATCCAGCCAAGCAGGTGGGTGCTAATGAAGAGCCACAGCAGCGGCTCTTGAGGGAAGGTTATACAATGAAGATCTGTCACCAGAGGCACTGGCTGAATGGTGGGGGTCAGAGCAGACTCCTCTCAGGATGGGACGTCTGAGCTGAGGCGATGAAAGGTGACCGTGGCTGGACTGGGGTGGTGACAGTGGAAATGGAGAGAAGAATGTGAGAAGGACACAAAAGGGGATGAAGAAGAGGACCAGGGAAGGTGGGGGGGGGGGGGGAGGGAGAATGTGGCCTCCAGTGAGTCTAGCCTGAAGCATCTAAGTCTTGAACACAGGCCTGACAGCCAGTGTGGGTTGGGCTATGCAGCTGTGATACATACACACACACACACACACACACACACACACAGCCAGTGTGGGTTGGGCTATGCAGCTGTGATACATACACACACACACACACACACACACACACACACACAGCCAGTGTGGGTTGGGCTATGCAGCTGTGATACATACACACACACACACACACACACACACACACACATATACACACACAGATTCCCAAGTAAGCCATAGTGACAGCCAGCCACTGTTCATCCATCTGGTTCCTCTGTGGAGGTAAACTCCTAAGGAGATGCCCATTTTCCTGGACAGAAGCCAGAGAGGACTGGATATGTAGGAAAGGTGCATCTGCGGGGGCCAGTATGGGAAAGAACTCATTTACCCATAGCAATCTCCCAGATTGGTTTCTCAACACTGGCTTGTGAGCCAGAGAAGCAAATGGGGAGGGCTCTGTGTACTGTTCCCTTCTTCCTCCTCAGTAACTATCTGGCTGACACCTCCCCTCCTCCCCTGTGGAGACCTGAGAGGTTACTCACCCTAACCTACCGTGGGATCTCCCCGGAGCCTCTCCTGATGGGTACATGGGAGGTGAGCCTGAGAATGCAGAGCCACAGGAGGTGGGAAGGTTCAGAATCAGGGAGTAGGGAGAGGCTCCAGTTGAGGCAGAGATCACCGCGACAGAAAGCAAAGTAAATAAGAGGCAAGCAGAGCAAGTTAGAAAGTCAGCTTGGGGCTCTGAGGCTCCCAGGGGCCCGTTTGCACAGGTCCAGGAGAAGGACAGGAGAGGGCTGGCCTTTTCCCTCACCTCTTATCTGAACCCTTGGTGGGGACTCGGGGGGGGGGGCAGGTCACTGGGAATGAAACAGGACACATCAGGACAGCTGTGGCCTATCAACTAGGATTTGTGTGGGTACGGAGGACAGAAGATAGATGAGGGCCCACTGTCACAGCAAAGAACTGAATTTAGGGTTTACGTTTCAGCAGTTGCTATCAAATCCCCAATTCATTTTGAACCTTCTTATTCAGCTTTTAAGTCACATGTACATGTAGAAAGGGAGAGAAGGAGAGAAAGAGATCTTAGTTCATGAAACACTCCAATTTGAGTGATAATAATGGAAGCTGCTATATCTGGTTGAATTTACTTGGTAGGCAATGACAGTGTCTCCGATTGGTTGGGATCACAGAAAGCAAGGCCATGGCAAGCAAGACAAAGTCCCACTTAAAATTCTAGGGGAGGCTGGGAAGGTGGCTCAGTGGTAGAGTGCTTGCCTTGCATGCATGAGGCGCTGGGTTCAATTTCTCAGCACCACATAAGCAGAAAAAGCCAGAAGTGGAGCTGTGGCTCAAGTGGTAGAGTGCTAGTCTTGAGCTGAAGTGCTGAGGGACAGCGCCCAGGCCCAGAGTTCAGGCTCCATGACCAATCAAAAAAAAAAAAAAATTCTAGGGGAAGACAATGGCACATGTTTTCTCTATATGCAGAAGCTAGATCTAAAATAGACAGGGACATGATAAATTATACAGGACTTAAGGTATTCACACACAGTGAGACCAAAGGAGGAACACAAAGGCACAATGCCTACGTGTCTCTGATCAAACAATATTTATCAAACGGACTCTAGGAAATGGAAACAAGAGGCTTTTTTCTTTGTTCCTGTCTTCTTTTTGTCTTGTTTCTCTGTCTTTGGGAGGGTACAGGGGACACAAATGGAGGGACGAAGAGTGAACCAATGCAGCAGTGATACTTACTGGACACTAGGTTGAAAATGAACTATAAACTTGTGGGTGGTGATGGGAGGGAAAAAACTGGGAGAGAGCAAGGGAGGTGGTCTGCAACCCTTCTGCACATCACTTTCATAATAACAAAAACATTTAAAAGTAGTCTACAGGGAGAGACAGACACACAGGGTGATGAGCTCTGGAGTTTCAGGTCAGGCTGGTGCCACACAGACGACCTGAGATTGCCCAGGGAAGGAAGGGGAACTCCCTCAGTTCCCAGGAGCAGTCCCCGTGAGGTTGTGGGATAAGATCAGAAGATGGGGCAAGGGAAGAAGAGTGTGAGAGGGGCTGGTGAGACATCTGGGAAGCAGGACTAGGAGCAAGGTAGCTATTCTCCTCCCCTGCACAGCAGGGAGAAGAGCCTGCAGGGAGACAGCAAGGAGGCAGGGGCCAGGGAGCGAGCGGGCTGCCAGACACCGAGGGAAAGAATGGGGGAGAGGAGTATGGAGGAGTCAGGGAGGGAAAGACTGGTTTTATATTGGTGGGGAATGCTGGGGTCTGGTATCAGGGAGTATGTTCTTGATAGAGAATAAGGTGCCACCCGACCCAGGCCCCAGGAGAGGCTCCTGTCCTATAGGTATGATGACCAGCATCTTATGAGTCAGAAAGAGTACAATAGTTCCTTTAGCTGAGACTGTAGTTGCAGCCAGTCACTGCAGCCGAACAATATGGAATGGGAAGTTCTAGAAATAAACGGTAAGTTTTAAGGCATGCGATCTCCACCCAGGGTGCACACCTTCACTTAGTCCAGAGGGCCCACATCACGTCCACTCCGTCTATGCTGCCCTCCAGCTGTCACAGTACCTTGTGGGCAGGGGTTCAGGCACCCACTTGGGGGTCTCAGGTGTACTCCACTCAGGGATATTCAGCGACTTCTTTTAGAAAGTTGTTGCCACATACGGATCCCATGCAATGAAACCCCCAAAGTGGTCACTGTAAGGTCCGCTCCTGGATGGCTAGCAGACTCCACCCTCCTCGCAGCAAAGTCTCCACCCAGTACCTGCGTTACCTAGGCAACTGGGACACCTGGAAGAGGTCACATCTGCATCCGCTGAGGTCACATCTGAATTTGATGTGGCCACACCTTTCCCCGCCCATACCCTACATAAGGCCTAGCCCAGGCCCAGAAGCTCTCTTGCTCTTCTTTTCTAGCTCTCTTGCTCTTGCTCTTCTTTTCTAGCTCTCTTGCTCTTCTTTTCTAGCTCTCTCGCTCTTGCTCTTCTTTTCTAGCTCTCTCTGCTCTCTCTCTGCTCTAGCTCTTTCCTCTCTTTCCCAGCCACGTGGAGTGCCAACCTTGCCTGGTCCCAGCAGGTCCACTGAATAAACCTATCCCTTACCTGAATACCATGTGCGTGCTGGTGCTGTTCTTACTCGGATACCTCTTTTTAAAAACCTAACAGTCACAGTGGACAGGGCAGAAAGGAGGCTTGCTGCAGAGGCTGAAGTACTGTTTCCCAGGTGAGTCTAGGCATCTGCCTCAATGTGAAACAAACAGGGCACCTCTCTTGGCAGTAGTCCTCATAGAGAATCAGGAAGGACAGAGGGCTAGACCACCCAGGTGACTGACAGATAAACCTCAGTGTCCTGGATGGATGCCTTGAATTTAAGGCAGTGAGGAAAGAGAGGTGCTGTCAGATTCCAGGGCACCACATAAAGAGTGGCCACCAGGCCACCTGGAGCTCATGGCCTAGGATAGTTTGCACTGCTGATAGGAGCTCAGGGGCTCAAAAGAAGAAAAAGTGTCTTGTCAAGGGAAACAGCAGCAGCTGGGTACTGGTGGCTGTAATCCTAGCTACTATTCAGGAAATCTGAGGATCCTGTAGTTCAAAGCCAGCCCCATCCCCAACTCGGTCCCTGGAAAGTCCTTGACACTCTAATCTCCAATGAACCACCAGAAAACCAGTTGTGATGCTGTGGCTCAAAG